ACCCCTAGCTTTGCCTCTTTCTACTTGATATCAACAGTATGCCCTGTGTTGTGACAAATAATGTCCCCCAATGTTGTCACATGTCCACTGGGGGGTGTAATCACTCCAGCTGAGAAACGCTGCTTTAAACAAATGCTGTCAAACATCTGTTAAGTAACTTCCACGTTTTTCTTGATGTTCCATGTTTTAATTATCTGAAATCTAATTAAAATATTGGTTTCTCCTGGTGAAAACAGTTGGTTACTATTCCCATTATCTATTTCCTTTTCCATTAAATTTTGTAAAAATAAGAAACTTAAGGGGCGCCCGGGTGGCTTAGTCGGTTAAGCGTCCGACTTTCTCTTAGGTCATGATCTCTCGGTTCGTGGGTTTGAGCCCCGCGTCGGGCTCTGTGCTGACTGCCAGCTCAGAGCCTGGAGCCTGTTTCAGAGTCTGTGACTCCCTCTCTCTCTGACCCTCCCCTGCTCATGCTGTCTCTCTCCTAGAAATAAAACATTTAAAAAAAAAAAAAAAGAAACTTAAGGCAGTTATGTGTAACTGTTAACTGAGGAATAACCTTGCAAAATAGACATTTGCTAAAAAGAAAGGAAGGCTTCATAGAACCAGATCCATAAAAGATACAGCAGTTGAAATAAATCTTTATCAGAATGGAAATATTACTCTGTACACGTAGAACTATGCTGTTATGACTGCCCTACATTCAGATCTTTTCATTCTGCTCAGGTTTTCCTTCTCTGAGCCAAACAACTTATGCTTCTTCCTTGTCCCCATTAAAGCAACTTAAACTATTACTACTAATGATGAGAAGTATAAACATGGTCAATAGCACGTAATGCAAATAGTTTGTCCTGGGAGTCTATCTAATTTTTATTTTTTGCATTCATCTGGATGTATGAATCCAGAGGCCAAAATTTATGCATAGTCCTTGAATCTCTACAAGACAGATGGAGGGAAAAAAAGAAGAGTATAAAATTACTTGAAGAATTTGGACTAAAGTGAAATACTCATTAAGGGTAACTGAATGTGGACTGTAACTTCTCCCAAACATTTTATTTTCATGTGCTCATGTGATTGTTATATCCAGACACAATAACTAAATACAAAACAGAATGCAAGACTCTCAATTTATAGTTTGTAGCTTAAAAAGGATCTCTTTATTAAACCTGTTACAGCAGAATTCATTTTTTTCAAATAGAAGTACAAAAAAATTTGATTGTCACCAAAAATGTAACCAATGAATGATGGTATTAGAAATTATTTTCCTTTACTTAGCTTTTTTGAATTTTGTTTTTTTCCCTATAATTAATGAGTGTTTTTTAAAACCACAAGCCAAAAATAAAAAATAAATAAATAAATAAAACCACAAGCAAATTCTTTCTGCACTCCCCTTTCCCACCAATTTTATCACAGTTTATGGACTATCGAGTAGGATTCTGGGACAACTGCTGACATTACTCTTGTTTCATGGGTCTTATTTCAAACTATACTGAATTCTTCCTACACTAATTTTTGTTAAATGCATTTCCTATTAACCAAAGTTAAAAATGTGCCCTTTGATAAACTTGGTTTCAGGTGAAAATCTGTCTTGCAATTAGATACATAGAAAGTGAATATTCTATGCAATGTAAGACAAACCATAGTTCTTACCTTTCTATTTCCTAGTTTGACAAAGACTGTCAAATTTCTTAAAAGAGTACACACATACATTTTTAACTTGGCATTCCATGTTCAGTAAAAACCAATTTGATCTTAATTACTGTGGAATTTTGACAACTCTACCAATGGCAAAGCTGAATTTTATCTTGCTGTTATCTAGCAAAAAGCAAATACCATTAAGATTCCAAATGTTTAACCTGGTAAAAATGAGAATATATTTCAATCAGGACCATACCATTGGAAAAAAAATAGTATTGCTATCTAGTCATGAGTTTCTTAGTACATTTCTGCAGGCCCTAGATGTTTAGAATAAATGTAGCATTCAGGGGCGCCTGGGTGGCTTAGTCGGTTAAGCGTCCGACTTTCGCTTAGGTCATGATCTCTCGGTTCGTGGGTTTGAGCCCCGCGTCGGGCTCTGTGCTGACTACCAGCTCAGAGCCTGGAGCCTGTTTCAGTCTGTGACTCCCTCTCTCTCTGGCCCTCCCCTGCTCATGCTGTCTCTCTCTCTCTCTCCTAGAAATAAATAAAACATTAAAAAAAAAATTAAAAAAAAAAAAAAGAATAAATGTAGCATTCACATAATACTATAGTCCATGAAAAGAGTATATTCTTTTATTGTTTTTGTTCATACATGTTAAGTTTCAACTTTCAATAATAAAATTCAATAAATTTGATTCCTCAATCATAAAAACTTGCTTTACACATTATGTACATGTTGCCAAAGTCTACAGCCATACAAAACATCACAAGGATTTGACTCTATGCGTGGTGCCATCACACAGGAGGGAGCTGATCAAATAATATACATTCAAAGGCTAAATTGTAGATACGCACAGTGTATTTGGCACTGTTCATTAACATCAGAACACCTTCCGCTCAGAGACAGGTATTCTTAAGCTTTAGTCCCAAAATATCAGAATTTTGTTATTCACATCAAAAGCAGCTTTCAAACTCTATTGTAACAGTAATCAGTTTTAAGAAACAAAATACAACCAGAATTGGGACTGGAATTCGAGCACTCAATCTTTTTGCTATGCTCCAACCTGTCATCCTTAAAGTAGGTAACTACTTTCTATCGTCAGTGGTGTTGGGAAGAAACAATTTAAAGACAAATACCTTGAGTACACATAAAGACAAACAACAGTTTGATTAATCTTTAAGATTATCAGTTCTTCTTGGGAATGCAAAGGGAGTCCTGATGATGCAGAACTTGTGATGATTTTGGCAGGAATTCCAGAATGACCAATGCCATTCAAGTTGTAGAGAGGATACAAGCAGTTAAACTCATGAGGAGAAGGATCTGGAATGCTTACATCTGAATTCAGAATCCTTAGCAACTTGTTTTAAGCGTCTCTTTCTAGGACTATAACAGACTCAAGTCACAGGTCATAGATGTACTTTGACGTGTAATACTACACTGCCATGAAATGGAAGGAGAAAATGAAAGTACAAAGACTCAATCATTACTTTTAGAGAATTTGGCCACATCCCAGTGGGTGGTGTTTGATTAACTTCATTTAAGAAATATTAAATCCCTTCACTTCAATCAGGCCCGTTAAATTTATTCATTAAAGCCATACATATTCCAGAATGTTTATAAAAGACACACACCATGTTTATAAAAGACATAAATTCAGTCTCAAACTAAGGCAAAAAAACCTCAACAGAACATGGATCACAGTACAGGGGAGCAGAAATCAGAAACTGGTAGTTCAGGGATATGCTATAGTTTCACACAAAACTTGCAGCAATACATTAAGACTTAAAAAAAAAAGTCTTATAATGTACAAAGGACTATGAGGTGCAAAGTAATCTCACTGAACCAAAATTTAGTTTAATCATTTTATTTCAAGTGTAGTTTTAAAAATCATAAATGGGGTTTTATAGTCCAAAGTTCAAACATTCATTCCTCCTCACAGCTTTAGAATACGACAAGCAATTTCAGACCTTGCTTTCCAAACCCCATCTTCTTTGCCATTTTTCAGATTTCTGAGACCTAGTATTTAAGCTACTCCATCCTAAATGAGTATTTTAGACAACTATTGTACACTTAAGATTTTTCTGAAAACTGTTCATCAAAGATAAAGAATGGTTTCTGTCCAAGGATCAGGAGTGAGGGAAGAAATATTAAACATCAAAAAATCATTTATTCATTTAAAAATAACAGAACCAGTGCTATTCTCTGTCATCAAAGAGAACATGTAAGGTTAACTTAAATTACTTTTGTAGACTTTGGTAATATTTTAGTACCTACACAGGCCTCAATCATACTTAAAGATCATTTAGGCAAAGTCCCCCACCATCAGGATTGACTGAATAAAACTCCTGGGTACGAACATAGCCCTAAATATGCTGTTCCAAAGGGGAATAGGTTACTGCTTTTGGGGAAAAGAGCTGCCTTGATAACTTCCCTCAGATGCTTATTTTAAATAAAAAGTTAATGGGAATATTTTTTAAACCAATTTTGGGTACACACTGCCTACCAAATAAAAAAAGAAACCGAACTTTCTTTCCTACTTTAGGAAATTTTCCAACTTTACCTTTAAGATTATAACTTTTTCACCTTTTTTGGACTAATACAATATTTAAGTTTTTTTAATTCTGCATTTCAACATAGTAAGAGTTCTTTTTCAAATGATCTTCACAACCCAGAACACAGACATCAGAGCAACACTCATAAGTCACACTGTTTAACTATAATGAGATGAAAATGGACGGATATCTGAAAATAGGTATTCCCTCTGCTCCAAAGGTGAGCAAGCTTTTAACATGTGACCTACACAGAACTCCATTCCTCTGGAGATCCCTCAAACTCAAAACGGTTCCATTTAAGCACATGTACCCCAATGTTCATAGCAGCACTCTCCACAATAGCTAAAACATGGAAAGAGCCTAAGTGTCCATCAACAGATGAATGGATCAAGAAGATGTGGTTTATCTATACCATGGAATACTACATGGCAATGAGAAACAATGAAATCTGGCCATGTGTAGCAACATGGATGGACCTTGAGGGTGTTATGCTGAGCGAAATAAGTCAGGCAGAGAAGGACAAATATCATATGTTTGCACGTATAGGAGGATTAGGAGGAACTTGACGGAGGAACAAGGGGGAGAAGAAGGGCGGAAATGGTGGGGGAAAGGGAGAGAGGCAAACCATGAGAGACTCTTGAATGCTGACAAAAACTGAGGACTGATGGATGTGGGGGGGTGGGGGGGATGGGCATGGAGGAGGGCACTTTGGGGATGAGCACTGAGTGTTATGTGGAAACTAATTTGACAATAAACTATTTGTAAAAAAAAAAAATAAAAGCTAGCAAAAAAAAAAAAAAAAACGGTTCCATTTAATAAGTCAATATATTATTCTTAAAAATTAAGTTTGGTCACTAGGAAAGACTGAACAAAAATTATTCCCCTCCCCTCAAAACAACCAAATAGCTCTAGTCATGCCCTGCTCTCCCCACAAAAACAGGGAAGTAGTTGAGACTGAAGCCTTTAAATCTGAAATCTCAGCTCCTAAAACATTGCTGCTATTTGCTCAAAGTTGCAGGTCTACGAATTTCCTTCTCCAATACTTCCCCCATTTATAAATTTATTAACACACATACACATACACACACACACACACACACACACGCATACATATTCACACATACCCTTACTCTCAAGTAAGACACTTTTTTGTGTTTGTTGATAAATTATGAGGATTATGAACTAGGTGTGTACAGGGTTTCATAGGTGCTTTGTAAACATCAGAGTCACTTGGGTCCTTTTCTCCAAAAGCCTGAAATCAAAATAGACAACCAGGGATCACTACTTTCCCAGACGCTGTTCACAGGCTGCATATTGACAAAGGGCAGAGAAAAAGTCCTCATAACTGATGTTTAGGTGGGAAGGCAAAGAGCTGAAAAGAAAGCACAGGGGAAAAAAGCAATTAGATGATATACTGTAATGGGGGGGGGGGGGGAACCAGAAGGAAAAAAAACAAAAGACGTTAAAGACAGAAGAAAGTGAATGATAAAAATAGAGTATGTCAAACCATTTCTGCCAATGACTGCTAAACTCACTGTGAAACACTGCAAGTAAAAAACCATCTCTCCTTCCTTCCCCAAGGACAGAAAAGCAACTTCTAGCAAGACAGAGATTCAGAACCCGTATTAAAGCCTAAGTCTAAGTGAATGCAAAACCGGAGACTGTTTATAAAGGATCTCATTCACACTCACTTTAAAAGTCCTCTCTGTCAGGGTAAAGCCAGCACTGCGCAAAGCGGTCTAGGACAGCCAGACTGGCCACCGCCAGAGCAGCACAGCACGCTCACACGGCTAGTTGCTGAAGCCATGCAGAGAGCAACCGATAAATGTTCACCTCTACCATTTCTATTCGCTCAAGGAGGCAATTACAGGGTGACATGAAGACACTTTAGGGGCAGAATGAATGTATAGTCAGAGGGTTCCCTGTTAGGTACTTTAAATACTTAAAATAATTTTCAATAATTGACATAAACAATTCTCTAGTGTACACAGCTTTATTGTGAGGCTTTGGGAATTCCAAACTGTACCAGAGCCAAACACCTGGTGAGAGTAGAAGTTGCACTATGAGCTCCGGGCACGTACATCACAAAAAAAGACTGAACAAAACTACCGTGAATGGACTCCTGTCTGACGGTGTGCTGGTTCTCGTAGCTGGGCCTTCTTTATCCTTCCTTTCCCCTCCCTAGCTTTACTGAAATATAACTGACTTCCCATCTCTTCCTTTCAACTGCCAAAAGTTCTGAAACATGCCTCCATTTCCTTATCTCTTATTAATTCTGCCATCAGCCTTTCATCTGATTCATTCCACTGCAGCGATAACCTCACAAGGCATCCTCAAAGGACAAAGTCAATGGCGCTCTTCTTGCTGAAGCTTGCTTCACATGTCCTCCTCAAACAACCCACTTTACTACGTCTTTCTCATTTTATCCTCTTCATCAACCGCTTGCTCCTATCACTCCTCAAGAAGCACTTAGCACCACTCCCTCCTCAGTGCCCCAGAGTGGCACTGTCTTGTCATTCCTGTCTGTTCTGTTAGTGCTCTGCCCTTCTATTTCTCCACATTATGATTAAGACATTAAGACACCAGGTGCTTATGGTCTGGTGGGTGGTAGACAAATTCAGAGTAAACCTTAACAGAACGTGATAGGGCTATGATGGATATATGTACAAAGATCTATGGGAAAGCTTATTATGTGCTCAGTATCTCATGTCCATTATCTGATGTAAATCCTCAACTTCTTATTAAAATACCCATTTTACAAATACAGAGAAGTTTAAACAGCTATCCAAAGTCATGTTATTGAACTGCATAGCCAAGATTCAAACTGAGATATATTTGTTCTAAAACACACTCTTCCCTCCAAACTACTCTCAACCTCACAAGGCATCACTGTTACCTTTCTTGGAGCCCAATGCAAAAGGCACCTGAAATGAACTCAAACTGCTGGAGAAAAAAAAAACAACAAGAGAAACATACATCCATCATAAGGAAATCCAGAGTTTGGAGATTTGGGTTCTAATTCCACTTTACTACAAGCAATTATTAAGAAGAGCTACATCTCTTCCCCATTTTCCTCACACCTATAAAATGAGGTAGGGCCATATGATCTACAGCCCTTCCTGACTCTAAAATGCTACATGTTTTTTTCTGCCTTTTTATTTGACAACTTTCCCTGTCTTGCCCCTGAACTTGAAGCATTTAGTAAAAGGCCAAAAGATCCCTTGATACTGTACTCTTATATATACACTTGAGAAAGTTCCTCTATTTCTCACAGACTCAACTACCATCACTTCTAAGGACTGTCAATCTCCAACTATCCATTTTTAGCCCTGACTTTTCATCCTGGACCAATTCTGCATCTTCATCTGCTTTCCTAAGTGTTTCCATAAAAGAGACTATGGCCTCAAAATCGTCTTATCCTTGAAATTAATGTTTTCTCTTCAAAATCAATGTTCCCTTGACTTTGTAGTTTCTCTCAATAATGTCATAATTTACCCTATTAGGCTTTATAGCTTAGGAGTCATTTCATTTCTTCTCTAACTTTTAGCAGAGTTTTAAACTACCAAGCCTGCAATTATGCTTAGTAAATAATTCTCATTAGAGATAGAATTTATAGTATGTTCCTCTTTAAGACTCAGAATTGAAATATATTTTAAGGCTACTGAATCTCTTTAAAATCAGGGGTCACAACTCATGAGCCTATCACCTGTTTTATTACAATACAGCCACACACATTTGTTCATGCACCATCTGTGGCTGCTCAGCTATACTCCCTATGCTGAGTAGTTGCAAGAGGAATAGCTACTAAGGGACTGTATGGACCACACGTTTGCCAAAAATCCTTACCATCTAGCCTTTTGTATAAAAAGTTTACCTGTGTTCTAAATAAGCAATTTCATTCTCATCACTGTATTATCCCCTAAATTATAGCTATGGCCTCTTCACTTGTCTCTCTACCAGATCCTTTCCCAAATCTGATCTACTCTAGTACACAGGTGCCAAACAAATCTTCTAAAATCACCATTTCCACACGATCTACAGGCTCAGTTGTTTCCTATTTCCTGTCTAAACCGTTATGCATATTCTTTGTGCTGGAACTTAAAGCCTTCCCAACATCAGTAGCCCCAAATTATTTGTTTTCACCTTACAGAGTTGACCCTTGAATAACATGGATTTGAACTGCCTGAGTCCACTTGTACAAAGATTTTTTGCTTTTTGTTTTTGATAAATACAGTACAGTACGATAAATGTATTTTCTGTTCCCTATAATTTTCTTACTAACATTCTTTTCTCTAGCTTACTTTATTGTAAGAATACACCATATAATACATAGAACACAAAAAATATGTATTAAGTTAGACTTCCAGTCAAAAGTAGGCTATTAAGTTTTTGAGGAGTTAAAAGTTATATACCAATTTTGGACTGCACAGAGGGTCCACACCCCTCATGCTCACATTGTTCCAGGGTCAAGTGTACTACCATATAATGTTATAATACTAACTTTGCTTTGGTAGGGCCAGTTCCCTCACAATTTCTTTAAAATGAGATGTTCATTCCTCCCTTCCCAGCTTTTCTTTTTTCCTTGCTCATCATTCCCTACACTTCTCAGCTTTTCTGTAATTACAAAAATTCTATCCATTTTACACGCCCCAGAGTATGTCATACCTTTTCTTTAAAACCAACAACTCTGACCCACAGGCGTATCTCTCTCACTCCTGGTTTCCTATGACAATGTGTATCAATACCAGGTATCTGCACAACCATACTCTCTTGTATCTGAGTCTTTATCTTCCACTGATACTGTGAAATACATAAGGGAAAGGACCAGTATTATAAGTCTTTGGGAATTCTCACCATACCTACTGCTAGGCTCAAGGAATACTTGCTGAATTGAACCAAAGTCAGTACACTTTTAATTACTTACACAATCTCAGTCAATCTGATGTGCCAGGGAAGAAAGCCTAGTGTGCTCTCCACAGGACCAAACTTCAGTACTAAATCAGGATCAGGGAAACCTTTTGAACCTTATAAAGAAAGAAACACATAGGAATTTAACATGCATTGCTTATAAATAAAATGACGATGGACAAAATCTGTTCATCAAATTGGCTTTTTATGCTTTATCTGTTTTCTTCAGAAGCTTTACTCATATGTTTCCATACCACCACCCCACTACCCAATATATACTTTAGTATCTACTCTGTTTTTTCTCTAAAGTCCATTTAACTGAATGGATTACCTGATAAGATAAGGTAACTCCACTCCCATCCTAAACCCTACAGACAGCCCCCAAATCCCATCCATCTTTCAAGACTCCAGAGTTCTCCTGGCACCCTGAGAACCACACTGCTTTAGGGGTTCTAATGCTTATTCTAGCCATAGAATCCCAGAACGTCAGAGATGAAAAAGAATAAAAGTAACTACAATCCTTCCTTCCCATATGCCCCTTATTTTATAGCTGAGAACAAAAAGATCAACTCCTAGCCATCCAGTATAACTGTTTTCTCCAGAGCCCCAGCCTAAGGAGGGAAAAGACTATACATCTGCCTCAACAAAGGCATGGCCATTCAGTCTCACAAACTGGTTTCCATAAGAGACCTAGTTTGAGGGAAAAAAAGGAGATAAGGATAGTTCAGTTGCTTAAAAAAAAGTAAAATAAATATTAAAATAGTCACTGGTAGAACATAAAAGATGCTGTTATCCAAGAAACCCAGGCTCCAACAGTTTCTAATACCTCAATTCTGCCACTAACTTTTGGTTACACAACCTCTCCAGGGCTTAGTTGTTTCATTTGTTAAATAAGGAGACTAATCTAGATTAGACTAATCTAGATTAGACAGGCTCATACACAGGCAGTAATAAAGAATTATTTCCATAAAAAAGTGGCCTTAAAGTCCATATTGGTAGAAGTGCGTGGACTAAGAAGAATATATATTCCCGTGACTGCTGAAGTACAAATTCTCTTTAGTTTAAAAAAATTAAATCAAATATGGCAAGAAGGAACTTCTGGCTAATGGTAGTGTGAAGAAGGTGATGAATCCTCCCCCCCAAAACATGTATTAAAACTGATAAAACCTAACACTTAAGGGTACTGGATACCGACCAGTATAAGAAGCAATTATTCTTTTAATAACAAAAAAAATGAAACACCAGCTAGAGCTTCAGGTGAGAACAGTAAGGGTCTTTGTCTTTCCTGCTTGGGAATGGTCCTAACTCCCATGCCTCTCAGCCAAATCAAATGGAAAGAATTATAGCTTTACCAGCATGGAGCTGATAGCAAAACTGGTAGATTTGCTGCTTGTGGCCAAAAGATACAAACTCAATTTGGAACTGGAGACTGTGGGCAGGAGAGGGCAATGATGAAAACCCAGGGATTTGCCAGCTAAAAGTGGGAAACTCAAAAGGAAACAGATGAGGAAAACACACAGTTTATTGGCCTGATGTTGTGGCCCTAGTTAGGGCAGACAGTCCAATGGTCAGAAATTTTCCAGGCAGATCCTGAAAACAAAGGCTCAGCTAAGCCCTCCACATATCCATAGCTGATGAGGAAACTGCATACATGCAAAGGCTGGAAAGAGGATAAAGAAAGAGGTCAGCAAGGGAGCCCAGGGAAAACTAAACACCAAGAAGACTTGAGAACTGGTGGGAACTCTGCACCCAGCCGCCAACATCACACAGACCAAGGGAGCCTTCTAAACTCAAGCTGTTTGAGCACAACCAGTGTGCAAATCACGGTCCAACACAAAACTAGACAGACATAAAAAGTCACACTAAAACAAAAAATTGAAAATAGAAATTTTGAAAGAAGACAGCAGTTGTCATCTTTATGTAAAGAAAATGTTGGGGTACCTGGGTGGCTCAGTCGGTTAAGCTTCCGACTTCGGCTCAGGTCATGATCTTACAACTTGTGGGTTCGAGCCTCGCATCGGGCTCTGTGCTGACAGCTAGCTCAGAGCCTGGAGCCTGCTTCCGATTCTGTGTCTCCCTCTCTCTCTGACCCTCCCCTGCTCACGCTGCCCCTCCCTCTCTCAGAAATAAATAAAACATTAAAAAAAATGCAATCTTATATTTAAAAAACCAACTCAGTTTTGGCTCAGGTCATGATCTCAAAGATCGTGACATCTGACAGCGTGGAGCCTGCTTGGGACTCTCTCGCCCTCTCTCTACCCGCCCCCCCCCCCCAAAAAAAAACAAACATTAAAAAAAAATCAACCAACTTGACAATAAACTAAGAAAAAACAAATCTTGGAGCGTCTGGGTGGCTCAGTCAGTTAAGCGTCCGACTTTGGCCCAGGTCATGATCTCATGGTTCGTGGGTTCAAGCCCTGTGTCGGGCTCTGTGCTGACAGCTAGCTCAGAGCCTGGAGCCTCTCTTCTGACTTTGTGTCTCCCTCTCTCTGACCCTTCCCTGCTCACGCTGTCTCTCTCTCTCTCAAAAATAAAAAAAAATTTTTTTAATTAATAAAAAGTCTTAAAGACTGCAAAATGAACTACCAGAACTAGTAAGTGAACTTCAGCAAGGTGGCAAAATACAAAATCAGTATTTTTAAAAAAAGCAACTGTATTTTCATATGTTATTTATCATCAAACAATCCAAAAGCAAAATTAAGCAAACAATCCCACTAATAATAACAACATCCAAAAGAATAAAACAATTGGGAATAAATTTTGACAAAAGAGGCAAAAATCCCAAATCCTGAAATTATAAAACATGGTTAAAAGAAAAATTAGGACCCAAATGCGGAGAGATATACTATGCTCATGGATCAGAAGGCTCAATATTGTTAAGATGGCCATTCTCCCCAAACTGAGGTATAGATTCAACTCAATCCCTATCAAAACCATGTGCTTTGCGGTTTGTGAAACTGACAAGCTGATTCTAAAATTTACATGAAAACGAAAGGGTCCTGAGTAGCCAAAGTTGTTTCACTTCTAAAAAGAGAATCAAAGTTGAAGGACTTAAAGGACATGATTTCAAAGTTTATCAGTAGTAGGCACTACAGTAATCAAGACCTTGTGACATTTGAAGGACAGACCATACAAACCAATGGTAGAGAATAAGAAGTCCAGAAATAAACTCAAAGATTTATAGTAAACTGAATTTCAACACAGGAGTCACAGGAGTAATTCAAGGGAGAAAAAAATGGTGGTAGAAGAACAACTCGGTTTGTTTGCCTCATACCATTCACAAAAATTAAGTCAAAATAGATTACAGATTTAAACGTAACAGGTAAAGTGATACAAATTCTAGAAGGAAATAATGGTGACTTTGGGTTAGACAAAGATTTCTTAGATATGACACCAAATGCATGATCCACAATAGAAAAAAAAATGTTAAGTTGGATTTCATAAAGATTAAATATTTTATTTTTTAAGCTTTTATTTATTTATTTTGCAGGGAGGAGAGGGAAAGGGAGAGGGAAGGGAGAGAGAGAGAGAGAGAGAGAGAGAGAGAGAGGAGAGAAAGAATCCCAAACAGACTTTGCACTGTCAGTGCAGAGACTAAGGCAGGGCTCAATCTCTCGAACCCTGAGATCATGACCTGAGCAGAAATCCAGAACAGGATACTTAACCAACTGAGCCACCCAGTCACCCATAGATTAAACACTGTAAGGAAAAAAAAAGTCAGTCATGGATTGTGAGAAAATATTCCTAAGTCATATGTTAGTACTGAAAAAAAGATGTGTACTCCAAGTATATAAAGACCTCTTAAAACTCCATATAAGACAAACAACCTATTAAAGATAGGCAGAATGTCTTGAACAAATCTTTCACCAAAGAAGATACAGATGACAAATTAGCACATGTTAGTCATTAGGAAAATGTTAATTAAAACCACAATGAGATACTATTATACCTAGAATGGCTAAAATTAGGAAACAAAAACAAAAAATTGACAATCCTATGCCTTGGCAAGGACGTGAAGAACCTAGACTCCTCTACATTGCTGGTAGAAGGTAACAGTACAATACCTTCTTTGGAAAGTTTGGCAGTTTCTTAAAAAGTTAAACATTCACTCAACCACACAACCTAGCAATTCCCTTATTAGTTATCTACCACAGAAAGGAAAACATGTCTGCACAAAGACTCGGATATGAATGGCCACAGCAGCATTATTCAAACAAACCTAATGCATATCAACTGGTGAATGGATAAACAAAATGTACATCCACAGAACTGAATACTATTTACCAACAGAAATTAATGAACTACTAATACATGGAACATGGATGAACCTCAATAATATGCTGAGGAAACAGAATATTAAAGACTATGTTTTATGTGATTCCATTTATATAAAATTTGTAGAAAAGATAAAAGTATAGTCAATAAAAAGCAGATATGTAGTATCTGTAGACATGTAATGAACTTTTGGGGGTGACAGTATTCAGAGGGCCTGCTTCCATCAGATTTGTAAATTAACTTACGGACTGTGTACATTTTCACTTATCACGGGTTTGACACCCCTGAAGGCAATACCTGGGCTCAACACTTCCGCACTTCTCCACAGCCTCCTTGAATGACCACCTTTGGTCCCTCTATCCTTTTAGGATACCCTCATAAATTAGTCTATGTCTGCGGCCTTACAGACTCCGGGAAATGGTCAACACTCCAGTAACCTACAATGAGTCTCTACAATAGTCTACTTTTAGTCTATTCATTCAGCCCAAACATGGCCAGGCACTGAGAGAGAACACCAGAGTAGGGGAAGAAGGGAGTAGTCAGTGAAAGTCAGGAGTTGGTGAGACCCAAGGCCAGAGAGCGAATGTGCTCTGTGATGGACAGGTGTCAATATGAATGACTGAGTTAGACCAAAAAAAAAAAAAAAAGCATGATTAATAAGGTAAATGGTAACTCTATTTGAATGAACAAAAAATGTGTATCTGAAATTACATGGCTATAGAAGCTATTAATGGACATGAACTTGTGAGAAGCACTTCCTTTCTTCAAAAGGATCAAGGATAGGGCGCCTGGGTGGCTCAGTCGGTTAAGCATCTGACTCTTGATTTTGGCCCCACATAGAGCTCTATCTTGGGCAAACAGCTTGCTTAAGAGTCTCCCCCCTCCCTCTGTCTCCTACCCTTCTGCCTACTTCTAAACAAAACAAAAGAACCCAAAAAACAAAAAACAAAAGGATCAAGGATAATGCCAGTATGCAGAAGGACCATAAAGTTAAAGCAAAAGTTCCCTAGGAGGTTCTACAGAGAATAAGCAAATTAAAGGTTTTTATAAATAGTTGAAGGAAAAAAACCCTATAATGTTATATTTGGCATTACATGACAAATATAGTAAGTACATTTCATATCACATAGTAGAAAGAACACTAAAAATAAAGTGATGAATGCTAATAAGATTATATGAAATTCAAACTTAACAGATAGTTCAAACTAAAAAGAAATAGTAAGAAGAGTGTGATATTATAATAAAACATATGGGTTTGGTCTCTGTCCAGGTTCCAGGCACAGAGCTCCTAAAATTCTTGGAATTTCCTGAATGATAAGAGTGAGAGGAGTATCTTTTGTTATTCATAATAAGCCCCCTTCTGTTAATGGTGACTCTAGGCCGGCCTCTAGATAGCTTTAGGATGGGAGCCAGCTGCCAGGGAAACCAGTCATGTGATTACAGGGCTGCAACTTCTAGCCCTACCTTTCAACCTGCAGGTAGGGAAGAGGAGCTGAAGACTGAGTTCAATCCCTAATAGTCCATGATTTCCTCAATCATGCTAACATAAAGGAACTTGCACAAAATCCCCTAAATGACAGGGTTCCAAAAGCTTCCAGGGAGATGACTGCACTGTGGTGATGAGAGGATGACGGAGCCCAGAGGTCATGGAAGATGACTGCATCCCCCAAAGATACCTGGCCCCATGTACCTCTTACACCGGACAGCTCCTGACTTCTATCTTTGGTAATAAACTGGTAAACATAAGTGAAATTCTTTTCTGAGTTCTGTGAGCCATTCTAGCAAATTGTCAAACCTTAGGAGACAGTTATGGGAACTCCTCCCCGCCCCCACACTCCCATTTATAGGCAGTTGATCAGGTGGCCCGTACAGGTGGCATGCACAGGCAGCCTGAAAACTACAACTGGCATCTGAAGTGGGGGCAGTTTTGTGTGACTAAGCCCTTCAACCTACAGAGTCAAACACTACCTCTGGGTGGTGTGTCACAAGTGAACCAAATTGCTGGACACCCATTTGGTGTCTGGAGAATTGGAAAATTCACTGTACAGTAAAACATCCCCCCGGAAGGCTAACAAGCAGAAGTCCGACATTCAAGAACATTCATCAGCCCCCAGCAAAATCCTCTTATATCCTCTCCTTTACCAGTAAGTCCTTTTCCAAGTGAGTGGACTACAAATTTCATTATCTCAAAATCATTTCCACATGTGGGGCTTCAAAATTTCAGAAACATTACAAGTGTAACAACGACAACAAAATCAGGTTTTATAGGGCAGGCTTTATAGTACATACTGTACCCTCTTAGGACAAAATTGAAAACATACATATTTGTATATATATGACTTACTAAGTAAACTGTCTAACATATCTACATCCAAATCTGTGGATCTCTTTTGCTGCTGGGCTACTAATTGGCAAAAGTCCTGAGCAGCTCTCACGATATCTGCTTTTCCATCTTCTGGGGAGAGCACCTTCACCGCCGACTGGCAATTTAAAACTGAAGGAAAAAACAAACAAGTTATTAAGAAAACAACCTGTTCCAGACATATTTCAAAATCAGCTTCAAGAAATATTAAGTTCAGACTAAAATAAAAGTATAGTTCTTATAGTAAACATAGATCATTTAAGTCCTCCAAATTGAATATAAAACATACTTATCTACTCTCCCGATAGGAACCACACATCACATTTGTGTATATATTTACACACTGCCTTCCTTTCAAAGACTTTGTATCTCTGAATAAATCCTCTAGAAAATAGGAACCATAGGCTAGTTTACACTTTTCATTCACCTAAAATGCCATCTACAATCATAGTAGAGTTAGCAGTAAAACAAAGATAAAAATGAAGAATATAGGGAAAAAATGTGTTTCAATGGAACAGGTACTGTCTAACTTATCAGAATCTGATTCTAGGGGAGCTATTTTATAATTGATAGGATTCTAGGGACCTGAGAGGAATGCCAAATTCTTGTCTGTAGACAAGAATGCAAATTCTTTCTTGTTTGGTAGAGGTTCAATTATCTTCCCTCTAACCCAACAGAAAAATCAGTTTTGCCTCTATTTACATATTCATTGCAATATTCCTGATCCGTAAGTGTGTCCATTCTTGGGACTCTCTTTTGAACTAGTTACAATCTGCCTGGTTCCTGGTTATTTATTGGTTACATAAAAATCTTCAACATGTGTTTATTTTTTAATATCTATGAGAGTCATGATTTTATTTTTTTTGAAAATTATCTTTGAACAAGATGAAGAAAGAAAAGTCTAAATCTGATGATTAAAGAGCGTGACAATTAACAGGGCAAAATGAATAAATGAGTGACAGAATCTGCCTTGAAACACACCCCAAAAAATACATCTGTGTAAGTTAGATACTCAATTGTATACTCATGCTTACCTTGATCATCTTTGTCATTACTATTCGCAAACTCTGGTGAATATTTGGAACAATCTAAACCCAGAAGTTCCTGCTGTTGTTTTAAAATTTCATCCATCAATCTGGAATTATTTCTTTTGAAAATACCTTAAAAAGAAAAAAAACAAGTAAATCCCAACTAGTTTAATTTATGCTCTTCAAGAATTAATGGGTGTTTGCTGTGAAAACAACACTGCACCCAGAACTCAACAAACTCCATATGAAGCAGTGCCAACTACGCCTAAACTAGAGTCTAAAAGAGAAACAAAACAAAAATGTTATTAACACGAGAGTCTGGAGTCAGGCTAAAGTTAAAAAAAAAAGAAAAAAAGGATAGGGATGACTACCTGGAGTCAATATGAATATGATAAAAATTTGGGCACAGAAAGAAATTTTAAGAGATCATTTACTTGAAATCCTCATTTACAGATTAAGAAACTTGACACCCAAAGTCCTTAAGAGACTTGTCCAAGAATCTGTAAGCTGCAGAGTGGTCTAGAGGCCTCATCTTCCCGACCCTCAGTCTGATGCAGTTTCCTTGCAGACCTACTATGTGCAATCAATATTATTACCTCTATTTGATTAGTTTTTTTAATGGTAAAAGGAACTATTATGAATTATGTAGAAAGTAGACAGAACACACAAAAGTAAAAGAAATGAAATGTAGTAAATTCAAGCAAAGCATGGAAACTGTTTTTGAGCCTTCAACCATGCACAGAAAGATTAAAACTTTTAACTGCTATTATGTCGTTGAGAAAGATGAAGGAACTATGTGGCATACATTTAATATAAAACTAACGAAGAGAGTTCTAACTAAAAACAAGGGACAAGTTTTTAGCTGTTTTCAGAGGGGCAGCTTTTTCACTGGCCATTGCCTTTTCGACCTTTACCAAGTGTTCCTACTCTGTAGTATCAGTCAGATCTGACTTCAAAGATTGACTGGGAAAGAGAACATAGTAAATATATATAAAATAACCCTGAATCTGCTGTAGAGATGTTAACTTGGTAGTCCATGTATAATAGCAGTTCAAAGATTTTAAAAAAACTCTCCTTTGGTAGGAAAAGCCTTGTAAAATAAGCTAGACTTGAGCTGAGCTTTCCAAAGTTAGAAAACTGAGCTTCAACCTTAGAAAGTTAAAGAAAACGGAGAGGGTATTTAGTTTGGGAAAATGTTTAAGAAAAAACACTGAATATTCAAAAGACAGACAAATGTTGCTGGTGCAAAGGATTTGAGAAAAGGGGACAGATCTAATTTTCACTTCAAGTTGCCTACCAAGTGGGTAACCAACACTTTCTAAGCAACGTGGGAATGTTGGAAATTTATAACTTTAGGAAAACAAACCTGGAAATGGTATAGAGGTCAGGCAGCAGAGTACAGCAACAGTCCATTTGTAATTTGATGAAACAATTGAAGAAGTTCATTACAAAAGAACTGAGAGAATGAAGAGCATGACTTCATGAGAGGTGAACAGAGAAAATTCCATGTCTTTAATCCTAGCTATAAGAAAATAGTGACTTTTGTTTAAAGTGGGGAATTTCTAGCAGAGAACTGGTCTGAAGGAAAACATAAGCTTAAGTTTTAGACACCTGATGATAGAATATTTAGGCAGCAGTACTGAGAAAGTGATTAAGACACATGAGGGAAGGACACTGAAAAGAGGTCATATAGGGATGCCTGGGTGGCTCAGTCCGTTGAGCATCAAACTCTTGATCTCAGGGTCATGAATTCAAACCCAATGTGGGGCGTGGGGCTTACTTAAAAAACAAAAAACAAAAAGAGGTGATAAGCACCATGTGAGTAGAGATCTTAACTGTGTTTACTCACCAGGCTAGCACAGTGCCTGGCACAGAACAGACACTCAACAAATGTCTGCTGAAAGAAGACAACAGTCAGAGACAGACTAGGGGACTTAATAAGACCTCTTTAGGGTAAGTGACATTTCATGGAGCCCATGGAGAATTGGGAGAATTCTACAGGGGCGAGGCTGGGAAGGCAACATAACAAAAGATAGGGATATTGACACACATTTGGGTGTCATCATCCTTAAGGTGAAACTCAAACATACCCACAAGAAGTGAAATATAGGATCTCCAAAGGTAAGGAAGCACATGGAGAAGAGCAGAGGGCTAAGGCTGTGGTTCCTTGTGAAAGCCGACAGTCGTAAGACCAAAAGCTAGGAAGTATGGAAGTGAACACTGGTAGCACCCACATGCAGAGCAATAAAAAATATTTAGTCCCAAATACAAACAAAAAGTTTAACGGAAGGTGATTAATATCAGAAGCTATCTGAATAATAATGCTTAGGACAGCAATACTTGTGCAACAATACAGATGTGTAGGATATAAAGATTATGTTCAAGCCAATCATAAAATTGACATGTATGACACAAAGCATGTACAAAACAGTTATATGATATAGGCTTATTAATGTTACAAGATTTCCAGGTATTTACACAAGTAAAAAATAAAAAATAATTTAGACCACACTTTGGTCTATATCACAGATGTAAATTATGGAAGGCATAAGAATTTTAAAAACAATGCAAGATCTCCAGAACACTGCTAGAACACATGAACTTACTAGAATGTAGGTTTATTCATTTTAATAGTAACCCACCACTAGGAACCCTTGCTTTTGTCTACTTAACAGCACACTGACCCCTTCCTTTGATACTTCCTTTGGACCTATGCTTCATTGCTCCCTAATTCACTCATCTCTGCCTTAGCTTCCAAATTAAAATGGGAACACATTTCAGGAACCCTTGTTCTCTCCAAATCAATGGATGACATTCTTTATCACCAAAATGGTCACTACCTCTTTTCAATCTATATCCTTTCCTTCTCAGTCTTTCTGAAGTGTTACCATTAATGACCAAGCTCCTCAATTCTCAAAATTCTATCCTCACCCCACGGCTTAAACGTCCTTTCTCAGTTCTATTCCCAGCCTGCTGCTCCTTGAATGGCCCCTTCTCACTGTGCACGAAATCCTTCCCTCTTCCCATGTCTAACTGGAAGATTACTCCTAGAGTTCCTTTCTCAGCCTTCTCTTTCTGTCCATGTGCTCCTCCTTCTCGGAGTCTAGTCACTCATGGGACTTTAAAACCACTCAGGGCCGGGGCGCCTGGGTGGCTTAGTCGGTTAAGCGTCCGACTTTCGCTTAGGTCGTGGTCTCGCGGTTCGTGGGTTCGAGCCCCGCATCGGGCTCTGTGCTGACAGCCAGCTCAGAGCCTGGAGCCTGTTTCAGTCTGTGACTCCCTCTCTCTCTGACCCTCCCCTGCTCACGCTGTCTCTCTCTCTCTCCTAGAAATAAATAAAAACATTTAAAAAAAAAAAAAAAAAAAACCACTCAGGGCCAGGACAAGGGTAAGATGAGTGAAGCAAACTTAAGTTGGCATCATAAACAACGTATTATCTTTAACAACTTAATGCAAAAGCATCCACGATGAACAAAAAATTAAAAGTTTAAGTAAAAACAGGATCAGCATTTAACAATTCCAGTTCTGGGGCACCTGGGTGGCTCAGTTGGTTAAGTGTCCAACTTCAGTTCAGGTCATGATCTCGCAGTTCATGAGTTCCAGCCCCTCGACAGGCTCTATGCTGACTGCTCAGAGTCTGGAGCCTGTTTCGGATTCTGTGTGTGTGTGTGTGTGTGTGTGTGTGTGTGTCTCTCTCTGCCCCTCCCCCACTCATGCTGTCTCTTCCTCTCTCAAAAATAAATAAACATAAAAAATTCCAGTTCATTCAAATATCTAATTCTACCCAGAAGCTCTATAAGCATCTAAACACCCTAAAACATGGCAGCTTATCTCTTAAAGCTCATTCTCAGGGAGCCAGAGTGGCTCAGTCAATTAAGTGTCTGACTTGGGCTCAGGTCATGATCTCACTGTTGTTGAATTCGAACCCCACCTCAGGCTCTAAGCTGACAGTGTAGAGCCTGCTTGGAATTCTCTCTCTCTCTCTCTCTCTCTCTCTCTCTCTCTCTCCCCCCCCCCCAGCCCCCCGCCTTCTCTCTGCCCCTCCCCTGCTCATACTGTCTCTCTCCCTCTCTCAAACTAAACTTAAAAAAAATTTTAAGAAAGCTAGTTGTTAAACACTTACATCAAGTTCTACTTTAAATTTTTTTTTAAATGTCTATTTATCTTTGAGAGAGAGAGAGAGACAAAGCACGAGCAGGGGAGGGGCAGACAGTGAGGGAGACACAGAATCTGAAGCAGGCTCTAGGCTCTGAGCTGTCAGCACAGAGCCTGATGCAGGGCTCAAACCCATGAACTCTGAGATCATGACCTGACCCAAGTCAGATGCTTAACCGACTAAGCCACCCAGGTGACCCTATAACAAGTTAAAAAAAAAAAAAATGGAGCAGTACCATAACTGTAAAACCGATATGCACTTAGGAACTAAGCTTGGAAGGGAAAAGGCTATAGGAGAACAGTGAATGTATAAGGGTGATAGGAGAGTAGGGGATTTAAAACAGTAACTGGGGTAAAACTATATATAATTAAAAGGGGGCGGAAGCCTTTTTTGGTTCTATTTCTTTTTTTTTTTTTTTTTAAGTTTAATTTTGGGAGAGGGAAAGAGACTGTATATGCATGCAGTGAAGAAGGAGTCGAGAGAGAGGGGGACAGAGGATCTGAAGCATGCTCTGTGCTGACAGCAGAGAGCCCAATGCAGGGCTCAAGCCCAGGAACCATGAAATCGTGACCTGAGCTGAAGTCAGACACTTAACCAACTAGCCACCCAGGTGCCCCATGTTGTTCTATTTCTAATAAAGGCATCACTACCTGCCCAGTCACCCAAGCATCTTCTCTACTCTCTAGTATTTTCATGATCACTTCCAATGTGCTATTAATATGCTAAACCTATATGCTCATCTACAGCAATATTTCCCTCATCTATTTCCATTTGTCCATTGTCCCCAACTGTTTCAAGTTTTTATTTCCTCATTAAAATATTCCAATCACATGATCTTCCAATGGGTCTTCCTGCCTCTTCTAGCATGTATCACTGGACTGAAAACCAGATTAATCTTTGGGTTCATCTTCAATCCTGACATATTCCAATTTTAGTATCTTCAATGGCTCCTCAAATGCTTAATGTACTAAGAGGA